AATCAGTAACAGCTTTTTAACTATATTGCTATAATAATAACTCATCGACGCAATGTGATTTCCATTTAAAAATGATATTTAAAGAATGCTTATAATATTTCATAAATTAAATCATATACCAAACCGCTTCCGATTCGTGTAAAATATATTGATTTATAATTTTTTCAATAAATGTAAAAATGAATGCTTTAATACGGAAAACCTGTCTTCTGACGAAGTCAGTATTAATAATGCACAATACAATAATATTTTATAAAAATACAGAATACGTATCAAAATCTAAAATAAGTATCCTTAGCTTATTATCTATTGACTGTAATATATGTAATCAATAAACATGTATATTATACAGTTCACGTAATTAACTAACATTGTAAGACTAAAAAAATCTTATTTAAGAAAGCTTAATGGCATTCATGAGATATTTTTCAGAATTATGTTGCATGTAGAATGTAATTAAATTATCCTTGTGTTTATATTTGTAGGCGATATCTAATTATTCTAGCAAGATTTGTTGTGGACATTAACTTGATGTTATGTAAGTGGATATCAGAGACAATTTGCTCAAGCACAAAATGATTACAATTCATCGATTAGACCAGGAATTACTTGAAACTGATATCTACCAGTTTCCGTTGATAAAGCGTTCAATGCAGGGACCACTATGCACATTTCAGCGTTTTTATAAATATTTACTAACCATACTTCAGATATTTTGACATATCATCAAATAATCATCAGACCCATATAGATATCGGTTTATGGCTTGTGAATTTGTAAATTGTGTTTAAATCACGGTTTAAAATGCGCCAAAACGCAGTTGAATGTAATCACTTTGTGCCATGAGTTTTAAAGCCTATTCTATGATATGCCATTTTGGCTAATGCATTTTCGCTACCTAATGTGTATTGTAGATTTTTATACATAAGACTATACCATCGTCTGTATATGTATACACCAAATATATAAGTTCTTATACATATATATATATATATACATCATATTATCAATTTTTGAATATAAGATACGAGTGTGAACAAGTTTTGAATACTTGGCGATCATATTAACACTAGTCAATTTTTCATTGAATATGATATATAAAATTATTTATTTTACTTTACGGTTACATAAATGAAGTTAATTATAAGTAGATTGAAATTGAGATTTTGCTTGATATATGTATTTATATATACATCGAGCAAAAAGAAGAATATGTGAAGCTGACATGTCTCTATTTCGTTATTTTAACACTGAAACACTCAGCTAAATGTTTTCTTATTTCGCTGAATGTTTTAAAAGTTCTAAACGAATGTACATAGGCAGTAATAGTATATTTGCTCATCTCGCGAACAGAAAATGTTGAAAATGATTTGTAATTTTTTATGAAAACATATATAAAATCATTCGTTGTCACATTTTAATCAACCTAAATAGATTTTCTATTAAAATTCATTATCAAAAGATATTTATATGAACATTAATAAGCAACTGCAGCTATCAATATTTTCTGTACGCTAAAGATAGTGAAAAATATAACATAGAAAATTTTGTTCGTTCGTTCAGTTTACTTCATTTATAGACTATCAAATTTTTTTTGTTATGCTCTATATATAACCAAAATCTATATAAGTTCTAATGTTGCATACTTTATGAACTAGTGAAGTGAATGATGTATTACGATTATGATATCCAAAGCTTTATTATATTGTTGATTATGTAGTGAATTATTCAAAGTCAATTATGATATGTCCAGTTTTTTTTTGAAAAAAAAGCTTAAAATATTACAAAATAGCTATAGTTTGCTGTATTGCTGTTTGATGTAATTCAAATTGTATTTAACCCTTTCGCTATGGCAGTGAACAATATATTTAAAAATATTTCAATCACTATCAAAAATGTATTAAAAATTTAAAATGACTTATTTCTAAAAAGCTAACTAGTAAGTTACTTATGGCAAATTGCTGGAACTTCCCGTACTAAAAATTAAAGTTTTAAAAAAAATGGATTTGCAAAAATTTCATCAGTTCTTCATTTAGTCAGTACAAATAAAATGTTTTTTGAATCATACAAATCGGATGCTTTGTCCTCTTAAAATTGATGGAGCAATTCTGCCACAAAAGAGCTTATAACATAGCGTTGTCATGGCAACGCTATCTTATGCATGTTTATTGGCAGTGAAATTTGTGAAAATGTTTATCTCATTGCCTCAAACACACACATCCACTTTTCCTAAAGTATGCTAAAATGTTCAGAAACCTTTGAAACGTAAAGATATAAAAATTTTCATTTTCGATTTTTTGCGATTACTATAACTTACCCTACGGGAAGTTATAAATTACAATAAATTTGAGTTCTCAATAAATTTACTCGGAGCAATATATCCTGAATATCGTATATAGGCGACACCCGACATAGAGATAGCGAAAGGGTTAAACTAAAAAGCTCGTTGGTTTTTGAAAATGAATTTTGAACGAGTTTAATGTCATATAAATGTTAATGCATCATTCATTTACATTTGTTGAAAATGTATGAAATAATGAACAAAATTACATTTAAACGCTGTTATTTAGTTATAACGTTATCTTACAACTATTACATGTACGCTATTAATAAACAAAATATTATTGCTTTCTTTGTGGTTCGAAAAAATAGATTATCCCTTTCAAAAATCATGTATAAAATGGACTAAAAATAATCACATAAGTCAGTAACTTCACAATACTCCAACATTTCATATAAAACATGATGTATAAATACGCTGGGCCGCACTTTTGTTTTAAGCAATAATATTGTATAGAGTATAAGAATGTTAACATTTTGTTATTAACTTCAAAACAACTTTGTTTTCATTTCTAATGCCTATCCTGATATTCATCTTCCTTAGATCCTACACAATCTTCATTAACATACAAAAAATAACAATTTAAATACTTCTGGTACTAATTTTTAGAATTATCGACACAGTATCCGATAAACTTCAGTTTTTATAAGACACATCCATTATGAAACGCAATTTTACACAATTTTTATTTTTATTCAAACAGCCATTGGAATTTAAGGGTCCTGTAATTTAAGCTGCTGTAATGAATTCATTCAATTACGTCGCTTTTTCAGAAGTCAGCCCAACAGTAGTTAGGAACAATCCCTATTTGATTAATTTATTATTACAATTTCTGCAATCCTGATGAATTGTTTTATTGACACAGCAATATTGGGTGAGGGTTAATTATAATTGGAACCATGTTGCTATCTATTTCTACAAGTGAAAACCGATGAAACTACTGCTTGGCATCAGGCTGTCCGAGAGCGAACCATTTGTATTCAATATATGTATTTCTATATTTTTAAATATTACTTATTTAAAAGTTTCTCAACTTGTACATTTAGAATCGAAATATTTTAAATAAAAATAACCATCAACGTTATGAAAATTCAATAATTTATGAAAAATGCGGATTTAACAGAAGTGGTATGACAATTTTGCAGTAATACATACAAAAAAATACATAACTAATGATGTATGGCATCGTGCCTTAAAACAAATTGCTAGAACTTCCCGTACCATAATGAAAAATTCGAGAAATATTAAATATTTTCAAATATTTTTTGAACCATTTAAATCGGTTGATCCGTGCGTCTGAAAACGTAGACGAAAATTTGTATCCATACATACATACACACACACATCCAATTTTTCTGAGGTATGCCAAGAGGCGTCGGCGACGGCCTCGCAAAGTGTTAATTATTTAAAATTTGGGTAATTTTTGTCACTATTGGATTGGAAATTAATCTCATTTATTGATACATTAGTTTGACCATAATTTGACTAATATAGTTCAATGATTTTTTTGACCAATTTTGGTCAAAATGATAACCATCAATTACCGGTAACGGTTTACTCTCTTATATAAATTTGCTATGTAGTTTTGTTTTTTATTATATTTCAAATAATTTTGCAAAAACGCATTGAAATATTTTATTTTCACTACTTCAACTGTGCATTTATGCTTAAGTGTCTTTGATGAAAAATATAATTGAAAACTATAAAAAAATGAAACATTAATATCTGAAACATTCTTTTCATATATATTGTGAATAAGTTCGCAAAATACTGCTATAGAATTTTGAACATAAAGATTAATATAAAAAGTTTAAATATATTATTGTGTGCAACATTTAAACAAATATAAATAAATAGTTATGATTAGAACTTAACACCTCCTACCCGCGAATTTCGAAGTTTATATGAAGCGGCGGCATACGAGTCGAAAGGTTTAATAATATTTTGTATTTGAATAAAATGTTTTCTCTAAGTATAGGTAAGTAAGATTATTAACAAGAAAAAACATAAATTGAAAATATGCTAATCATATTGTAAGTGTTCATGTTTAGATCGAAACATTGATACTATCATCGAAAAGATTTTTAAAATCAGTTATTATTAAATATGCAACAAAAATTAATAAAGTAATTTCAGACTATTAAATAAATTGCGTTAAGAATGGAATGGTTGTATGGAATATAACTAAAGCAGATGACAATGTTACATTTTTAAAATAACGTTTTAAATTTTGCCGCGCGCATGTTGCTCCACGTCGTGTTGAAAAATCGAACTGAAACTATTTTTTCCAATAAACGATTTGTAAATGACGTGAGGAAGGAAGAAAATTTTTTTAATTAATTTTTTGCGATTTGTTACTAAAATTGACGATGTAGCAATATTATTTAGTGATACATATATATATTTATTAGCTTACGTACAGCAGTTCTGATCACATGTAGATGTATTTAAACATGTGTATATACATGTGTATATATTTAAATATATATATATATATATATATATATATATATATATATATATATCTAAACTTTCCTAAATTAAGGAGGGTTATTTCTACTTACCGACTTGTCTTTCGGCCGGGCGTCCCATTACATATATTTATATAAATTTTTCAACACTTTTGTAGGAATATATTACATTTGGTTGAAATATTTAACATAGATGTGTTGCAGGATATACATTGAATGGACAAAAGCTAGTTGAATTTTCTGCATCTAGGGATGGCGACAGAGTGCCAGGTCAAAAGCTTCGAGTTAAAACTGCTGCGCTTTGGGTTCGTATAGACTTCAAATCATCTATCCCGAACAAAGTTCGACGTTTAGTAGGAGATAAAAACTTAACATTATGGGTATTTCAAATCAATCGATCTGGATTCAATTCCACCCACCTTAGCTGCAAGGTAAATTTAACTTTCAGTTCAATTTGCTTCAATTATATACTGGCTGTATGATTGTTCTTTACTTTTAGGAGTTTGATGAACAGACCCAAATGAGTGCTTCATTATCAATCAAGATGTCTCAGCTTGGTTGGCAGAAACTTGATGTAACTGGAACGGTTCGAAAATGGTATTCTGAGGGAGAAACAAGCAAGCTTCGTTTGTTAATAGATTGCTCTGGTTGCAGTGATTTTGTAAAAGTGTATTTGTTTAAAGATTATGGAGAGAAAACAGTAGAAACTGGAACAACAGGACATAATAGCCCTGTTGTTGTAGATCCTAATAGACCATTTTTGATAATCCACACAGACCCAGAAGTGGGTAAACGAGTTAGGAGGAGAGCATTAGACTGTTCTGGTGCCTTGAAAGGACAGTGTTGTAAGCAGCGTTTTTATGTTAGTTTTCAAGCTCTAGGATGGGATGACTGGATAATAGCTCCTCATGGCTACTTTGCTAATTATTGCCGAGGAGATTGTGGTGGAACACATCGCACTCCAGATACTTATTTAAATTATTATACTCATGTAATTGAGGAATATAGAAAAATGGATAAGTTTAGTGGTATGCAACCGTGTTGTGCACCTTTGAAATTTTCGAGTATGTCACTTATTTATTTTGGACCAGACTCTAATATTATTAAGCGTGATTTACCAAAAATGGTTGTTGATGAATGTGGTTGCCCTTAGTGTATTCAAATAAAACAATATTGAATCCCGAGCTGTGCTATTTTGTAAATGTTGAATAATTAATTTATAGAAGCTATTTCCTATTATGAAAACTTATTAATTTGCATTTATAAGCATCAAGTTTTTGCAATAAACTCCTATTATAATTTCAAATTAGTTGTAATATAAGCTAGTCAAGTTTTCAGTACAAATATAAATCTCACACATTAGTTATAATCAATTTTCATACATTACTTAGTTATAATCCAGTTTAGTACCATAAGTTTAAAATCTGTATGCTGAACTTAAATTTGCTGATGATTAAATATAGTTAACAGAATGTTTATATTTGTAAAATATAAATAATGTACACTTGAATTTATCAACTAAGTATTTTATATAGTATTGTAAAATTGTCCTCTCTTACAAATTAAGACTCCCTTCAGATATTAATTTATACAATTTGTATATAATATATTTGCCTTTAATACTAACGTAATAAATATTTCCAAAAATTTATTTATTTATTATTATTTTTATATATATTATAAAAAGATTAAACCATTTAAACACAGTTATGATAAGAATCAATGAGATATCTCAAGTGTTTGAACATGCAAAGATTAAAAATGCACTATTTTTCAAAAATCTCAATATTTTATTTGTTTTGAGGATTTAAATGTCATTTTAGCGGGTATTTTTATTTAATGAACTTGGCAACACTGCAATGGATACTTGTGTAACTAGTGGCGGGTGGCGGTAGTGCGAGTGCGACCGACAAGTTCATAGTGACATACGATAGTAGTATTTTATAGTTGAATACGGAGAGAATACGGTTTTGAAGTTAATATTTTTCATAATGGCTTTGAGCCAAACAAGTGTGGTAAGTTGTTAATAAAAAAAGTATATTAAAACTTTAAGAAAGTGATTCAACAGTTTGCCGTTGTTCCTGACAACTCATCTATTTGTAGTGAACTATATATATTGCTAATGATATTAAAAATGGAAACTGATTTATACAAATTTGCTTAAACGATACATCTTAAACTATGTGATACATCGGTTTTTATATCTTTTCATAATTGTTTTTCCTCGTGTATTTGTAATTATTGCGAACATCAAATAGTGATTGAGTGTCGTTTGTATTTCAGCAAAAGCTATATACCACTGTAATTGAAGATGTTATTAATGGTGTGCGTGAATGTTTTCTGGATGAAGGTGTAGATGAACAAGTCCTCCAGGAATTGAAACAAGTATGGGAGACGAAGTTACAAGCTAGTAAAGCTATAGAAGTTATACCCGATCCTCCAGAAGTACGACCTCCACCTATTGTTGTAAACAATCAAAAGGTAATGACACTAGAAATACTTTTTGTGCTTGATATGACCTAAGGCTTTATTTTTAGAACAATGGTAATAGACTCGGAGCTACGAAAAAGGAATTTGCACCTGTAAATCAACAGTTAGTTCCAAATCAGCAAGCTTCACAACCGCAAACTACAGCCCAACCACCCCAAAAACCTCCAGTAAATCAACCAACCCCACCGGCATCAGTAGCAAGTCTAGATCCAACAAAATTGGTTCCTATACAAGTAAGTTAAATAAAATGTTTTTATATTTTATATTTTAATGATAAACCTTGTTTTAGATAACATTGCCAGCCCAACCAGGAATAGAAAATTCACAGCCCAGAGTATTATCAATTCAGGTCCCAGCATCAGCTTTACAAACTAATCAATTAACCCAAGTCCTAACTGGTCCTTTGATCACTGCAACGATGGGTCTTCCACCACATCTAGCTAGCAGTCTTTTACAGCAGCATGTGAATGCAGCGCTCCAAGGCCAAGCACTTGCTATGAGAAGTAAAGCTTCTCACTAAATCTCTAGTACCTTGTACTGCATATTAATGGGGAACTTGCAGGCATTTTTTATTGCTGTGGTTATCATTTGGTTGGTATGATCAGATGGGTGAAAATAATATTAATAGAAGATATATTTTATGGAGGATATATTTCTCAGTTTTATAATTTAGTTCTTATATTTGGATTTTAGTATGCATGTATGTGTAATGAAATGAAATTGATCAAAAGTGTGTTGTATTAACAATTACTAAGTGAATGGCAGCAACTTACGGTGCATAATATATGATGTCAGGAATTCCATGCAAGTTCCCCATTGTGCAAATTGACAAATCGTTTTTTCACAAAAGTGTAGTTGATTAAATATACATGTATGTACATGTGTATGTATTAAAAGGTTAATTATATTGAAATTGTTGGTAAATCTTTCTCAGATGCTGTGGCCGCAAGTCAGAAGCCTGTAGTGTCTCAAGTAGATGGAGCAAATGATTCATCTGATGATGATTTGAGTGATGCTTCTGATGATAATATTGAAAATATGTCAGATGAGGACAATGATCGAGATGATGGATTGGATGAAGGTGATAATCCAGGACCTGAAGAAGAACCTCTGAATAGTGGTGATGATGTTACTGATGAAGACACTGGTGATATGTTTGATACAGATAATGTAGTAGTTTGTCAATATGATAAGGTAATTTGATTTCACCTTTATTGGTTTTACTTAATATATTTGAAATAGATAATATTAATTTGAAATCAGTCATAATTCTAATTTGCTATACCAAAATGTGTATGTTAACATTAAAAATAACCAATTACTTTCATTTTTTCAGATAACGAGATGTCGAAATAAATGGAAATTTTATTTGAAGGATGGTATAATGAATTTAAATGGCAAAGATTTTGTCTTCCAAAGATCTAATGGTGATGCTGAGTGGTGAACTTAAAAGTTTGTAATATAGTATTTGCAATGTATTTTGAAACAGAAACTATTTATGTAATCATCGTACTTTTAGGTTGTGTAATATAAGTCCATTTTTGTAAATCAAGGTGTATGTATTTGATCTTGAGTGTTTTTGTTCACACTGCTATATTTTGACTTTAACTTGAAAACATGTCTTTCTGTTGTGCCATTGAAAGCTTGCAATAATGTTGAAATGAGTATTTTTTATTTTATATACAGACAATTTTTTTTTATACATGAATGTAGTTAATTCAGCGATTATGTTTACAGATTGATGTAATAGTAAATGTTAATATAGTTCTTTATTATTGAAGTTAATTTTTTTTTACTTCACGTTTCTGAATAAAGTGTCAGTTCACTTTGTTTCTCCAGAGAAAATTATTAATAAAACTGCTAACAAACAATGAAACCTTTTAGATTGTTTGAAAATCAAGTTTTCTTTTTCATTTATTATATTATAGTTATTAGATATCTGACAGAAAAAATTATACCGTATGTCGTAATATATCAATGAAATGGGTAAGTTTTACTTCACTTTTCATTAGCGTCTCCAAGATAGAGAGACATCAATTATACGTTCTGCAATAAGATAATATTGATATATAAATAAACATTCATCTGCTATTTTCTTTTTATTCATTTTTTATCTTTACAATATTGTTCTGTTGGCTATAGTGGTTTAACATTGATCCACATTGATTAAGCAAAATGGCCGTTGTTTTATATGTCTTTGCCATTCTATAAGGCAAATAAAGCTAATTGTTTGTGCATATTTCAAATATATAAACATACCGAGATAACGTTGAATAGCTTTATATAAAATAAATTGAAAATGTTTATAGTGCTCTCTTGTGCGTTTGAATAATTATCATTCACTTATTTGTATATATAAATAAAATTCTATACGAATAACATAAACAAGAAAAAACGCGTTCGTGACTAAAATGTAAAAGTACGATGAAATTGAAAATATAAGTATATCTGAAAGTGCATATGATTTATTACTCAATGCAAGTGTATTTACGAATAATATGAAATGTAGAATCTTACTATTTCGGAGAGATGATGCGTTTTAGAATACATTTGACACAATCCAATGTTAGTTTTACAAAATAAGGTGCGTATGCAACTGTTGTTATGAAAAATAAATATTGATAACATTTGATTTGAAAAATAGGTTAGATCCGTCAGTAATACAGTAATGTTGTTTTTTTCTATAATTTTCGTAATTATTCATATTAATTGTAAGTTTTATAACACTTTGTACTAACTTTGTTCAATAATGTTGAACATGTTGTGAGACTATTGTTGATAGCGTTATTGGTATAAGTTTATATTTTGTATTATTGCATTTATATAAGAATTGAATAAATCTTCAAACAATTTCTTACATTAGATGATCTAATACACTGTGTTTATATGCATATTTATTTATTAAAAAAAAGTATTTTCTTGTATGGTTTCAAATATTTGTGCAATACATTAGTAGGAGGCTGTTGTGCATATACTATGACAAGTTTGTTAAATATTTAGCTTATATTTTAAGATGTCACGCGGTTGGAGCAGAGGCAGAGGACAGAGCGTTTCTCTACCATTAGACACCCTATTTAAAGAAAGTGCTAATCGACCATCAGCCTCCAGGTCAGCAGGCACTGTTGGAAAATGGGGTATAACCAGTTTCACATCAATACGGAACACATCTCTTGGTAAAGCATTTATAAATGGATATTATTATAGAGTTGATTATTTTTCAGATTTTTTTAATCAATTTGCAAAAATTTTAGGTGGGATCAGTGGCGGGTGTCTGAATGCTTACGGAAATCAACAGCTACAAAAAAGTGATTACAATAATTCACTTAAGGGTGGTACAAATAGTTGCAACTTTGAACGTTCAAGTGAATTGACACAAAATACAAATACCGCAAACATCCAAACAGTGAAACCAAAAAAATTTTTCAAAAGTAGAAATGTAGTTACTTTAGATGCAACTGAAACTAATAAAGTTAGTAATAATAACAAGTTTTCTTCAAATTCTGCTAATGTAAATTCTCCAACAAAAGTTATTCCAAACAAAAGTAAAACAAACAGAGAAGAAATTCCAAAATTAAAAATATCTTTAGATAAAAGTAAATATAGCAAACACAAATATTTTTCGGCAAAAAATTTAAAAAATGATAGAAAATTAAATGTGAATGTAAACTCAAAATATAGCTCCAGGAATAAAGGAAAGGTTTGTATTTTATTTATTTTAATATTGTATTATAACTTTGTTACTATAAGGTAATTAATTAAATAAAATGCTTATATATGAATCATATTTTATTATACTTTAATATTAATATGAATAGCGATATAAATTTATAGTTAGATATAGTTATTTCAATATAATTATTAGTATTTTATCTTTCCATTTAGATTGTAAATTACTCAGAAGAAAATAGTTGCAGCCCTCCAAATTCACCACCAATTCTAGAAAATATAACACTCCAGCAAGTAGAAAGTTCTCCGATCAGTCCTAAGCGCCAGTTGGAACATCCACCCATTGTCCTACGAATATCTAAGGTAATTTATCTGTAGAATATTTTGCTATAGTGATAAAAGTCTCTAGAGTGTTTAGTTGGAAATAAATATTGCTTTGTTATTTGTTATTCTAATGCTCTGATGACTATCATTAATTTATTATAGGGAACTTCACGCCTCATTAGTACTGACAGTGAAAGTGGGGTTGTTTCACCACAACACACAACATCAGTATCCAGCAATTGCAAAAGCCCTGCTGTGGCAGATGCATTGGAATCCACTAGCACTAGCACTTCTTTTCCTGTGCAAGAAGCCATCAAATTGACAATTAGGACAAAGGATGTGAAACTATGTTCTAGTCGATATGAAAAGACTCATTCTAAGATAGATCCTAATGCTGTCAATAAACATTCCAAAATTGAAAGTGGAGGTGAAAGTTCAAGGGCTGCTAGAGCTTCAAGGCGGAATCAGCAGAAAAATAAAGATGACACTGTGGCAAAGACTGAAAAACGAAAATCATCACCACAGCCAGGAAGTGAAAATTATGAATTATACCGCACTTTAGCTTCACCTGTTGACAAAGAGGAAGAAATAAATGAAAGCAATGTAAATGATTCTCAAGCGTTTTCTAATACACAAAACAGATCCGAAGTTACTGGAAATGATGTCAATTCTGTCGATGTAATGGAACATAATAGTGAAGATGTCAGTGGTATGAGCTCAGTTGATAAAATTATTTCATATTCCAAAAACACAAAGGCAAGGGTAATTGGTCAAAAGCATAAGAATGTTTCTCTTGATAACTCATCCTGTTCATTAGCCAAAAATAAATGTACTGTAGAAGATCAGCCACATGATTTTGGATCTCATGGTGGTGATGATACCAATCATGATGATTTGAATACTGTTACAACAACTGTAAACTATAGTGAAAATGACAAGGTCTCGAATTGGTGCGAACCAAACGAATCAAACAAACCAACCAAACAAGATGCAATTGTTGAACAAAATTCTTCACAAATTGAAAATCCTCCAGAAGCTAATATTTTGAGTGAAACACAACCACCAAGTGTTAAACTCGTTATATCTAAAAAGAAAGGAAGTATTTTCAAAAGTCGAGCATTGGTGAATGATGGAAGCAACTCAAATGGTAAAAAGAGGCATGTTTATCGTCACAAAACTTGGCAATTTGATGAGCAAGTAAGTAAAATATTCTTGTAATATTGTATACATAATAAGCAGTATCATATCTTGTACTGCCCAGAGAATTTGATATTTAATCATTATTTTCAATCTGTAAACATTATGCATGGCAACATAATAGTAATAAATAATATAGCAATGTACATATAACTTCTATTTCAGAAGACAACAGCATCAAATGAAGATACTGCACCTACTTCTTCTTTTGACTTTGATGATGGCAGTGCGGTATTAACTCGAGTGCCACGTATACAACAGAACCTTGATTCCAGTGACTCTGATCCTGTAATGAGTGTCTTATGCCCAAAAGAAGCTAAAGGGGTAAGTTTCCTAACACTACTTAATAAAACAGATTCATTTACATATATATATATATCTTGAATAATGATTATCAGCAAGTCGTCGAAATAAAAGAAGCAAATAAATAGAAATATTTATTTTTAAAATATGTTTTGACACGGATTGTGTGTCATCATTCAGCAATTCTTTGTTGAAACAATGTATGTTTCTTTTATTTCGACAGCTGGCTGAAAATCATTATTCAAGATATGTCTCAATGTCGAACAAAAAAATCTAATATATATGTATATATATATATATATATATATATATATTAGTGTGGTCCTTAAAATGATCCTTTTCGAATTTCCTTGCTCCCAGGGGCTCAAATGGTTCCAAATAGATAAAAAACAATTCTCTGAAAGTTTTAGCTCTTAATATTAACGTTTAGATAGAGCGCAGTTCAATCAAAGTTTGTATGGAAAGAGCATAAATACTTAATTATATAATATAATTTTATTTTAGTACTATACAGTAGTGAGAAATGTAAAAAAGGCTCACCAGATTCAAGAAATAGGTGAAGAACAAGAATTAAATGATGATGTTGAATATATATTAGATGCATTGCAGGTAATTTTTTTTGGTTTATCATTCATATCACTCATAATCTAGTCATTGAATTTATAAATAAATATGACCATATTCACAGGACAATAATCCGATGTCCACTAGATGTTTATCAGCAATTACCCTAGCATCAAAATGTATGACACCAGCATTTCGAATGCATGTAAGGGCACATAATACCGTAACGAAATTCTTTCGTGCTCTTCATGATGCCACCAAAGATCAGGTACTTTTTTGTCTTAGTACTTATCTATTTCATAAAATTTGTATACTTATTCACATTTAATTACAGAGTTTGGGATTATGTACTGCTACAGTTATGTTTGTTTTATCCCAAGATCAGCTAAATATGGATGTTGATCGAAACAGTTTAGAGTTGATGTTGAATTTATTAGAGTCTGATGTCAGCCATCAGCATGCTTTGGATGACTGCGGCTTGAGCTTAGCCCAATTACATAAAAATAAACAAAAAGTTCGTGAATTATGCGAAGAGATTAAATGTCAAGGAAAAGCTGTTCATTTAAATTTAGACAATATTACGGTAATTATAATGAATAATATTTTATTTCATAAATTTATATAGTCAATTGATATTAGGATTATGGTTTTACAGGTTGGACAACTTGCTATGGAAACATTACTGAGTATGACCAGCAAACGTGCAGGAGAATGGTTTAAAGAAGAATTAAGGCAATTGGGAGGTTTAGATCACATTTTAAAAACTGTTTGCGATTGTTGCAGCCAAGTTTCTGGATCTATAGAAGAATGGACTGATCTGTTACTGGATAAATTGAGAAAGATTGAACGGTGTTTGCGTGTTCTAGAAAATGTAATTGAAATGTTTTTGCATGTTACATTTTTGAAAGAGAAATTTGTTTTCATGAGGTTTTTACTTTTTGTCGATGTTTTGTAAAAATAGGCTTAATTGATTTCAAAAATTTCAAAGCCAATTCATGAAACACTAGTTTTCTATTCATATTTAATTTTTAATTAGGTAACTCAACTAAATGAGGAGAACCAGACTTATCTTTTACATTATGGAGATGGCATTGCCGTGCAAACACTTGTGCAGTTATACCAGTTATGTGATAAAATGATACCCCAGCATCCAACTATTAATGATGATAAAGATTGTGCTGGAGTTGTATTCAGAGAAACTTTATTACCTACTTTGAAAGTGCTTATAAATTTAACTCATTCGTTTAATCCTAAATGTAAGTCTTTTGATATATAACAAATATTTTTATAGCATTAACAATATCTTATTTATTTATATTTTTAGCCATTGGCAGTTCTGTTATTGGACAGAAATCTGAAGTAATTGATATTAGCTTGCATTTATTATTGGAAGTGCAAAATTACATTCCGCATCAGAAAAACTTTGAGCTTAGTATTTTGGTAAATACATATACTATAATTATTCTATTATATTTTAACCACACTGTCAGCATAAAAAGTGAAAAATGTTATTTTAGGCATTGCTGCTGCTCATCAATTTAGTGCAATACAACATTGAAAATAAATCTTATTTAATGAATGCGAAATCTGATACTCAAACTGCATGTATATACATTTATGGTAAAAGGGCAGTTGTTGCTTTAACAGAATATTTCTATCGCAGAGAACAGCTGGCCAGGTATTATCCATAATAATGTGATTTATAAATGCAATTCCTAATTAATTGAATGTACATTACTTCAAATGATTGAGTTTCAAAAGTTATTAATACCAATATGAATTTATTTGATATAATTTAGATTAGAGGAACAAACTACTGATGCTATCTTAGATGGTGCTAAAGATGATAGAAGTGAGGATGCCAATAAACCTAAAACGCATGAGGAGTTTATTGAAGAAACAGTTTCTAAATGTAAATGATTTACTTCTGAAAGTTCAAAAGTATTTCAATACCTACTAATGATTATTCCTTTCACAGTGCTGCAAAAGGCTGGATCGCACATGGAGCATACAATGGTTGCATCATATATAGTGCTATTGCTTGGCTATATGATCACAGATTGTCCAGATCATGAATGTGAACTGACTAAAATCTTGCCAAATAATAGTTACTCTACCATGATTCTTGTTCTCACAAAGTATTATAAATTCATGAATTTAACTGGAAGTGTGAGTATTTTTATCTATGGCCCATTTGGCAAAAAGACTATTTACTAATTTATAATTTTTTTTTAGGGTGACACATCAATCGTTAATCATATTACACAAACTGGCATTGTACTGAAATATCTAGAACAGTTAGAAAAAAGATTAATAGATCAAAAACAGAATTCTGTTTCAGGATCTACTGAATCAAATATGTCTGAAATTAGTGATAACCATTAAACATAAATAAAACTTTCTAATATGAGTGTTGAAAGTTTGTATAAATTTAATATATATTTGGAATATTTGCATATTAATTTATTTGAATATTTTAATTATTTTATCTTAATTTTATTTAAAAATTATATAGTTTTTTTTTAAGTTAATAAGGAATATATGTGGGATCTGTCCAGACAAATGTCTCTACGAAAATTTTATTTTCGATAACTTAAATTTTATGCATAAATGCACAAACAAGTGGATGACACAAAGAGAGAAATATTTATATGTGAAATTTGAGCTATAATATTGTACTATATAAATAAACATAAAAAATATAACTTCACAATAGTCTCAAAAATGAAAAATGGTGTTCCACAAGAATAATAAATGGTTGTAATCCGTATATAATTATGTACATGAATGTATTTACATAATTCAAACTCTATAAAATTTTTGGTAATATTTGTGAACTTATTGCTTAAGTTATTACTCTTACAAGGGCTTGTGCAATTTGATCTTCATGTTTAAATTAAAAAACAAAAAACGAATTAAATGAAATAAAAATGCATAAGTCAAATCAATCAGTTCACAATAGGTAATGATAAATGTTATGATGTTTGATATTATGTTAACTTTCTATGTAATATGAAACTTGATAATGTTTCGTTTAAAGTTATATAATTACATACAGAATGAACATGTATCTTGTATATGTTTGTACATAAAGCTGTATATACATACATACAAATATATATGTGTATTTATATATATATATATGTATATATATATATATATATATATATATATATATATATATAATATGCATAATTGTGTATGTATATATGTGTGTGTGTGTGTTTACATAAATATATTAACTGTCTGCATTACGGATTATGACGAATAAGTGTAAATAAAATTGTTATTAATTTTATTCATGAACATGAAGCAGATAAAGTTTCTGCACTTTATTAAATTTATAGATTTAGATATTTTATTTTTTAGTGAATTTTATAGTTTAATAATTTATGTTTTATATAAAAAACTTACAAGACTTTATCTTTTAATTAGTACATTTATGAAACAAATTTTAAAGGTTGAATGAAAATATTATATTTACAAGTTAAACATCATTACTTGTGATGTAAAAAGTTTATTATTTAAAAAAAAGTTTTGTACTATACCAAAATCTGCGATGCAGTATTTTCTGCAATGTTTTTGTATTAGGATAAGAAATAAGTTATATTGCAATACATTTAAAAAAAATTTCAATGGGTATGTTTGTGTGAAGTATTACTTCTCGTTTTATCCTTTATATTCAAAATATTTTATTTAGACAATCATAGTTCTTAGTAGAAGAAAATTTTATTATTATAATGATTTTAGTCCGAGTAGTAACTGTTTTTTTTTTACCTGAGAATGATTATTGATATTACACTTGTGAATGTATATATTTTTATGAAAATTATCACACTTATCAGAATTGTATATTAACCAGTTTCTTCTTTAACTTGGAACATTTTATACACACAAAACACACACATGCACATTATACAAATATATTGCGATCATCATGCACTTGTAACAATGATTTTCTCAATATAGTTTCTTATAAATTACATAATTGTATTATAATTGTATTTTATTTTTTAATTTTGTATACTTTTTAAAGGCAATCTTCAAATAATTATTATGTATGAAAATAATTATTCAAATTTTAATAATTTAATTTTATCAGATCTCTTGTATATACTATTTTTATGAATAAAAAATAACAAGTTTTCAATACATTATTTGTATAAGGTGATTAAAATATATATAAAATAAATGTTTTCAATTTCAGCTACAAGTTTTGTTTTTTGATAATAAATATTATCAACAAAAAGTAATTACACTAAACCGATACAAAATGTATAAAGCTTAAAGCAAAAAATATAGATGATTTAAAAATAAAGTATAAAAAATTACCAAACAAATTATTTGGCAAACACAAAAGCCACATTAAATAAACTTTAAAACGATCACGTTAATGAAAAAGAATAAAAACTATTTGATTTAAAAATTTAATTGAATTTAATATATAAATTAATAAAATTAAGTTATAACTAATATATAAATTATGTGTATACGTTAATATAATATTTAAATGAACCATTTATGATTCGGATGATTCATTTAAATTTATTTAATTTCTAAAGATTGGTATTGTTTTAAGAAATGATTTTTGCGGACAACTTCACTGCAAGCATCTTGCGTACGTGCAAACCTTAAACAAGACAATGTCTTCGTTATTTGCCGAATTAGACCTAATAATTACACCTAATTAGTATGCTTTTTATTTGTGGTTTTCAACTAGTTTTATTTTTAACAATAAAGAAAATACATGAATAAATTGGGATGATAGTATTCTTTGTGCTGTAGAGAATGAGATATACTTACTTGATAGCTCTTTTTTTGTGAGTTGAGTTCTTCAATTAGGCACAATTTTGACAATTAGATGAAATCGATTTAGTACTCGATCAAATATCCAGAATAAGTTTAGTAAAGTTTAGGCAATATAGCAGCAGCATTTGAAATCTTCCTGTGCAAATCGTAAACAATTGTGTGGTCGGTATCGATGCGACGTTGTGTCCTGTGTAATATTTGGAATGTGTTCTTACTCCGGCTCGGACGAAATATGTGGAAACCTTTAAAATTCATTAATAATTTATTAAAGTGTTTTTGTACCCTTCAGAACTTTGGTGTGTAAACTGTTATTCTGTCATACACTTTGAACATTATTTTTATACTTACATGAATAATTAATTTATAATTTATTATGGTAATTTAAATAATAGTTACTTGCTAGATCTTTCGAAAATATTGTAAAAAATGACATACAAAATGTTTTAATATTCATGGACTACTATTCAGGTGAGTGAGTGATAGGATACTTTGTTTTACTTTTGTTTTCCTCTGATGTTTTTACATTCAGTTCATATTTCTAGAAAGTAAAATGGATTTCAAGGAAGATTTAAGTCAATATCCGTACCCCCAAAAACTTTGGACAGATGGAAGACGGGGAGATCATTGCGGATTCAAAGTGCCAAAGATTCAGACGTTTAGACCTACTATGGAGGAGTTTAAAGATTTCAAAAAATATATAGACTATGTGGAAAGTTGTGGAGCTCATAAAGCGGGCGTTTGCAAGATTATTCCTCCACCAGAATGGGTTCCACGTAAATCTGGTTATGATTTAGATCAAATAGATATCACTATACCAGCGCCTATTTCACAACTCGTTACTGGTAAACAAGGTCTTTATCAACAAGTAAATGTGCAAAAGAAATCAATGAATGTTAAAGCTTTTGCGGAAATGGCGAATTCTGATAGGTAATATTGTGTATTATTTAATATTTTCAAACCATATAAATCAAAGCATGACTAAAAGCAAACTTAATATTTTTTTTATATATATGCATATATATTTATTTATTTATTTATTTATTACAGATTCTCACCACCTTTTCATAGAGATAACAATGACCTAGAACGCAAATATTGGAAAAATTTGACATACATTGCACCTATTTATGGAGCTGATGTTAATGGATCCTTGACTGATGATACCTGTGATGTATGTTTTGCAGTTATTTAATTGCTGTATGGATATATTGTTCATGTAAAATCTTCTTACAGATATGGAACATTAACCGTTTAAATACGATATTAGATTATGTTAATAAAGATTATGGTATAAGCATCGATGGTGTTAATACAGCCTACTTATATTTTGGAATGTGGAAAACTACTTTTGCATGGCACACTGAAGATATGGACTTATATTCCATTAATTATCTACATTTTGGTGATCCCAAAACATGGTACAATATTAATCTGTTTTGTTTTACAAGTATTTGTTATTTTGGTAGTACTCTAACAGCTCTATTTATTTAGGTATGCCATTCCCCCACAACATGGGCGTAGATTTGAGAAGTTAGCTCGTCAGTACTTCCCAGAGAGTGCAAAATTGTGTCCTGCTTATCTCAGACATAAAATGACATTAATCAGCCCGAATATATTGAAACAAAATAATATTCCTTATGATGTGGTAAAGTATATTTTAATAGTAATTTGTTGTTCTGATTTAACCTTTAACGATCAAGAGCATCACCTATAACATGCTCAGTAGATTGAAGGATTTTTAAGAAAAAAAGTGCTTTATTTCTAGAGCTAAAGAAGGTGCATAATTAATATTGCTTTATAAGATTTGAATGGAAAGGAAGTTGTCTAAAATTGTTTGTCGACAAATATTCAAATTTATTTTCTAACTGCATTGTGCTCATATTGAAAATAAAAGAAAAGTCCAAAATTCTTCTGATTGCATCATGCTGGGTGTATGGTGGCATTTGTTTAAGAGTTAATATAAAAAAAAAATATTTTTTAGGTGACTCAGTATTCTGGTGAAATAATGATAACTTTTCCTTTTGGATATCATGCTGGCTTTAATCATGGATTTAATTGTGCTGAGTCCACTAATTTTGCGATGCCAAGATGGATAGAATATGGAAAAAAAGCATCACACTGCGTTTGTAGGTGAGAGAAAATTAACTGTTATAGTATTTAATAACATACATGTTTAAAATTAAACATTGCAATTATATATATATATATATATATATATATATATATATGTACATAGTATTTTATTTATTTATTGATCTATATATATTAGGGATGATACCGTAAAAATTTCTATGGACACATTTGTTGAAAGATTTCAACCTGAACTGTATAATGACTGGAAGAATGGGGTAGACAATATTCCTCACCCCGAGGAAACAATTCGGGATTTTAAAGTAAAGTGTAAAGAGTAAGTATTATTGGTAATTATACATGAATATTCTAATTTTTAGAATAATGGAAAATATCAAATTACTAAAGATGCATGGAATCAATTAGATGATACAATTTTTATAATTGGTCTTTAGTTGGTTGGCGATTTTTTTTTTTTTTGGATATTATGATTATTATGGGTAATTTACTACTATGGCCTAACATGAACGTGCAAGCATATTGGAGGTTGGATCACTGGTTATCTTCAGCATGAAACAATGGTGTTGTACAAAATAATAATTTGGAATATTATGGCATCACTTCAAAGTTGTATACAAATAAGGCATGCGCATTGTGCAGTGGGAGGGGATAACTTTAGCAGTTTAAGAAATTGTTTGGTGATTAATTTGTTTTTACATATTGATATAACCAAATTAATTTCTAGGACTCTGTATGAATACGTTGTTAGGAAACGGAAAGAGGCTGGAATTTTAACTCGCGGAAACGATTTATTAGATGACTTGTACAGGCAAGTTAATTTACTATTTATACTTGCACATACATGTTGCTAATATGCTTAAGTACCTGCCAAGCTTACACACCAAGTTCATGCTGATTGTTATGAAAAATTCAGTACACAATGCTGATTCAATTTTTCATGTTTGCTTTGAAACTATAACTAAACACAGCTAAGCCATTAACCCCTTTGGTATAGTTGGTTCGCGTAAGTACCACCAAGTTTGAAAATATCTGGACAGTTACTTTTATATATAAAAGCAATGCATTTTGTACGACACAGTATAAAAGCAATGCATTTTGTACACAGTTGACGGGGTATTCTGGTCTAGAGTATTTTATGCAATTTTCAAAAAGCCATAAAAACGAGGCAAAACTATTTATCAATGTTATCAATGTATTTTTTTTTTGCGAGTTTTGAATTAATGTTTTGAGAATATAAAAGACAAAAATATAAATATTCAAACAGTTTTAATTCCAGAAGGTAATAAAGTGAGGGGTCTCGAAAAATTGCTATATGTCCATACCTATATGATAGCCCTTTAAATAATCTGAAGAAAAACGTATTTATGTACAAATAATCTGGAATAATGTAGTTATCGTATGACCTATGAACAAGTCCAAAAAAAAATCTTTATGAAATAGTGACTGTCTGAAGAAAAAAATTTACAACCTTTGGATTTTTACTGGTTACTTCAAATTAATTTATTTTAACATTTGTCGCACATTGAACTTATTATACAAACCGTGTTTTAAAAAAAATTCAGGAATACCTTTCACAAAAGGCTTAAGTTTCAAAGTGAGCATGAGTTTTATGTATATAATTTAATGTTTTTATATTTTACTTTATTCAGGGCTCGAAAAGATGCTATGTATGATATGAATAACCCATTCTTTGATGAAGTTACTGGATATCAGTTGAAAGCCTTAGATCCCGAAGAGGACATGAATATTGTTGCAGTGCCAATGGCAAATTATGATGATGAGCTTGGTACTTTAGGTAAATAATATAATATTTAAATATAATTTAGTTATTCTAGAACATATCATGGACTAGAATTACTAAGACATATCTTGTTTGTTTTCGAGTGACGACCATGTAAAATTTTTTAATTATAATTTATTATTAACTTTTTTATTAGCATTGTTCTGTTCATATTGTTGCTATTTATTGAGAAGCTCATTTTTAATAAGTATTTTTCTTTATAGATGCCCAGGATGATATCTTATTATCTGAATTTGAAAAAAGTAAAAAGAGGAAATATCGTAAGCATGATGATTCAGATTCAGATGAAGAGTGGACCATGAATGGATCACGAAGATCCAAGGGCAAAAGAAAGAGCAAGGACAAGAATGATATTAAAAAAAATGTCAAACGTAAGTATATTTCAAAACATTTCTTGTTTTGAGTAAACATTAAATATAGTATTATTATAAATAGCAAATATATAGCAAAAAAGATTCTTGAGGGGCTCCAATGTTATCAATGCTATGGTTTAAACAAAATGAGATAAATGAGATCAATATTTGTAATATTCATCAATTTATATTTCTGTACCAGAAAAATTTTCTTCTGCAAATGTTTATATTTCATATTGCTGCTTAGATCAAGTCTATATTTTCAAAGAATTATCTCTTCTTTTCTATAATTTTTCTTGTGTTTTTTTCCTTTTTGCTATTCTATTACTGTACAGGGTGTCCCAGAGCACAACATCATGCCAAAACGGCTTTTGAACTGCGTGGGATAAATATTTTTAAAGGCTCTTCTGTTTAAACACAAAACATATCTATGATGTGTTATGCTTGTACATCCTCACCCTTATCATATTTTTCAATAATTTTACGATTTAATTGAAGAGACATAGGCCTCTTCTTTGGACCCATGGTTAGAAAAGTATTTTGTAAATGTACAAAAAGCAAAAAGTGCAAACTTAACAAATATAAATGTACAATCACTATTGATGTATAGTCAAAATTTTAAACATTAAAATAATCCTTAATTTTCACCAAATTAGGTAAATTATTACTACACAATTAATATTAATATGTAATTGAAAAAATGAGTAATTACAAAATATTTTACTATTAAGACAAGTTTATAACTTGTAATAAAAATGTCTTATAATATTTTAGAAACGCCTGTTAAAAAAAGAGGTCGAGCTACGCCCAAGAAAACTGCAAATGACACTAAAAATGTGAAAAAAATATCGCAGGAAAAAGAATTAGATTTTCCTGAAGATACCTATTCTAGCACTGAATCTCTACATGGATCACATGTTACTTATGAAGAAGACAATTGGAATACAGATTTACCAGCGGTTGAATGGTTAACAGACACATATAGTATAACAAATATAATGCAGATTCCAAAAGATGAAAGACCTAATTTCATTGTTACTGATGAGGATGTATTCAATGTCTCACCTGGTAAAAATCATAATGATAACAATTTTTCACCGGATTCAAACAGTAGCAACAAGCAGTCATCAGCTACAGGCCGAACTTGCTCTTTAAAAACATATGTAGATAAACCATCTACAATACCATGCTCAGAAATTTCTCAACATTTAGGCTCAAATAGTATTTTGAGCTGTCCAAGCAAATTTGACTCAAATAAAACGAATAGTGACGTTTCAAGGAGAACACTGAACAAAAGGAAAACTCCAGTCAAACGCAAAATGCAAGAAGATTACATACATAATTCAGCTAAGGACAGTTATGAAAACACTCCACCGATTTTAGAGAAGGAAGTATCTAATGCCGATCAGATGAATTTGCTGTGTAGACCACCTAGTAAAATTTCACCAGAAATGGCTGATCCATTATGGATATCTCCAAAGCATGCTAAGTCAGCTGAAATGATCATTGAGGAAGACATGAAATTAGAGTCAGGTAATAAAATTGGATATTTCATAGTATATACATAGAAATATCTAATGGTAGTGAAGAGAGATAATTATTTAATAAATAATTATTTACTTGTATATTATATGTTCATATACTACTTTATGCATTAAATTGCATAAATTATGTGATCATTAGTGTACAAATACGTGTACATTTATATATAATGTACATATGATCAATCGGTTTGCTCAGTTGATACAAACTATGTTTTTGTAACAATTAATGAAACACACTTAAAAAGTGAAGATGCACAAGAATTGGATAATGCTCATGAAAGTTATTTTTCAATTTTTAAAGTGTGTGATGTAGTAAAGGTTTGAGATTGTTTGTGTACACATAATGGCATAACAAATAAATTGATTTGTTTTTCTTTTGTCAATCAATTAAGTTAGAAACAATATCTATTTTGTAAATGTTTAATTACGTTTTCAAGCCAGATAAACACAGTAGAATCTCACTAATACGGCGCTCTGATAGACCAATACTTTTAATAATCCGACACCCCCAGCAAGGAGGCTGGAAAATTTTCCACTATTTCCAATATTTTATGACTCCTACTTCAATCCAGCAATCCGAACATTCCAGTATTGCCGCACCCTCTGGTTTTCAATAGGGCCGAATTAGTGAGATCTTACTGTATATATATATATATATATATATATATATATATATAAATCTTCAGGATTTCATATAGGGTGCCCCAGACCTTGACGTCAAGCTAAAACGGGGTGATTGTCCTGAAAAAATTTAGAAAAAAAATTTATCTCAAGTTGTTTGGAAATTATAGGCTTTTAAGTACTACCTATAGCTTTGGTGAAATTATGACCATTTTTTGGTAAGCTTTTATTAATTTTGTTCATTTAAACTTTGGAACCGTAACTGTGAATGACATTTTTAGGACCACAGTAAAAGAAAACACCAAAATTGACCAAAATTAATTTCAAATTCTTGATAATTTGGGACAATTGTATTTTTTTTACTGTGATCCTATAAATGTTATTTATGGTTATGGTTACAATGTTTAAATAAACAAAATGAATAAAACCAAATGAAAAATGGTCATAATTTTACCAAAACCTCTAAATTTTTTCAGGACAGTTAAGGTCAATATTATCTTAGTCTGGGACATCCTATATATATCTTGAAGTGTTTTTTTGCACCAATAAAAAACAATAAATAATTTAACTATTATTTTGGACACTGCAAGCAAAAATCTTTTTACAAGTAAAACAAAAAAATACTAAATAATATTATATACAATATATATGTATATATACCAGCCAGAAAACACAAAATTAACACATTGGTTTATAAAAACTAAAAGAACAAAACATATAATACAAAATAACTTAAAAAGTTATGCAGTTTGCTGCATGAATTGAAATTGTAGAAAAACAAAACACTCAACTATATAACTATATCATTATTTTTAGAACTTGACTTGCAGAATGAAACATACTTAATAAGTAAATAAAAAACGTACTTAAATTATTCATTGTTTTTTTTTTCAAGAATGTTTCAACGTCAAAAAGAAATACCAATGTATATATACACACACACACACACATATATATATATATATATATATATATATATATATATATATGAGTAATATGTATTTTTTTTATTCAATTCATTAAGCTTCATTATAGTGGCATTTCGGGACTAGATATTTTCCATCATGTCTTAATATTTAATATATAGGGCAATACATCAAAGATTATAGAAGTTAACAAAATCTTTATATGTAAATCCTAAAGTTTTTATCATCTTTAATGCTATTTGAGATATAATACTCCAGTTAACTTCTAATTCACGATTAAACAATTTTCTGATCTTATCATTTTAAATAAAACATTTTGAGAACTCATTATTTTTGAGATTTTGTTTCATATATTTTAAAATATTAAAAAAAGTACATTACTCATCTATATATATATATATATATATATATATATATATATATATATATATATATATATATATATATATATATATAACAAATGTATTCTGAGTGGATAATAGATATTAATTTGGAAATATGAAAAAAACACTCTTTTTTTGCATTAATAATTTTCACAAACGTTTCGAGACTAGGTTTGTCTCATCATCAGTGTGTTATAATTTAAAATTTAAAATATGGATACCTAAATTAGCATTATGTATTTCAAACAACATGTAATGGTTAACACATAATGCTAATTTAGGTTTCCATGTTTTAAATTTTAAATTATAACACACTGATGATGAGACAAACCTAGTCTCAAAACGTTTGTGAAAATTATTATTTAATAAAATAGTGCAAAAAAGAGTGTTGTTTGTTCATATTTCGAAATTAGTATATATATATATATATATATATATATATATATATATATTCAAATAATTAGCAGCCCATTCGCTCACGACAAAAACACTAACAAACTTAATACTGATAATAGTTATAAAAAAAAATCATATGTAAAAAATTCCAAGTTTTCTATTAAAATTATAACTATCATCAGTGTTAAGTTTGTTAGTGTTGCTGTTCTGATCTGATTTAATGAATAACTTCATGACACACAAGTGTCAAAACATATAATTGATAAACAATGTTTTCCTCTAACCTTCTTTTAAATTTGATGAATGGGCTATTAATTATTTTGAATATGTTTCAACGTCGGAAAAATAATTAGTTTATATACATATGTGAATTTATTAATTTCAAATATATCATTATTTTGTATGTTTATGTACACAGCACCTGCAGAGATAATTTTAGATGAAGATCTTCAGACGAAAATGACATAGTATTGTTTTTAGTTTGAACTAAAAATACGAAATTTATTAATTGTTCAAGAGCGAAGCTTGTAAACTCGAGCATGTTATATATAAAATTTTTATTAATTATTTTCAGTATTTGTAATTGAGTTTTAAGACTACTGAAATGAATTCTGATTACAAACTGACAGTTTGAAAATGATGCATTAAAAATGTTAGATTATATAAAAAATATTAGATTTAATATACAAGAGTATTTTATATTATAGTGAAACCTATTTTAAAAAGTATAGGTTATAATTTGTTTCATTGCTCTTGCATTATTTAGCAAGTAGATACTGAGAACTTGTAGGCTTTATAAATGAATTTATATGTGAATACTTATTGAATATAAGTTTGTGATTTTGAGTAAGTTACTATAATTTTAGTTCTCATACTTGAACTGTACTGCATAAAACTGTATATTAATATTGAAAAAAACACATGTATCAAAACATGCTTTAATGTGTAAATCACATTTTGTGATTTTGGAAGTGTTCACTTCCATCATACTTGTTCGAATAGGATTTGTGAAATGAAATGAAATATATTAAGTTATTTATAATAAATCACTTTATATGAACAATTGAGTATGTATTGGCTAAATGTGAACTGTGGTCATTTATTCATTTAAGTAATTTTTTTTTTTTTTTTAATCATTTATTTAAATGAATAATTTGAAAAGTATTTTTATTTGCATTTTGTTACAGTTGCAATGAACGATAATGAGTGTGATCTATATATGAATACAGATATGGGAGATCTTTCCAAATCTGTGTTGACTTCTAATAGTGATAAAGAAAGCAATCATTTCAGTAATTATGTGACGATCAAAAATGAATATGACCAACCTACTGTTCCTTTTGAGGCGATTGAACCTGCTAGAAAAGTAGTTAAAGTTGATCTTGGTGGGAATAAAGAATTTTGCTTCCCTCCTATGCTTATGGAAGTGAACGTCACTGAGCAAACTATCGACAAAAATCTTAATCCTATTAAAAATGAAGAAATGAATGTAACTGACCAAGCGATTGCATGTAATCCGAATCCTATTAAAATTAAGATCGAAAATGAGGATATCAATGTTATTGAGCAACCAATGGAAAGTACAAATAATCCTATTAAAATTGAGAGGATAAATGTTACTGAGCAACCTGCTGATGAGAGTAACCTTAATCCCATTGAAATTGAGATAAAAAATGATGATACAATTGATGTTAATGAGCTAGCTATTGAAAGTGATCTCAGTTTCCTTAGAGTTGATATTAAAAATGAGGAATCAACTGCTAATGCTGAGCTAAATATTGAGAGTAATCTCAATTCAATTAAAATTCTGATTAAAACGGGGGAAACAATTGTTACAGAGCAGCAACCTATTGAAAATAATAACAATCCCATTGAAATTGAGATCAAAGATGAGAATACAACTGTTACTAAGTTAGCTATTAAAAGTACTCTCAATCCAATGAAAATTGACATTAAAATTGAGAAAACAAACATTACTGAGCTACCTATTGAAGGTCTCAATTCCATTAAAATTGATATTCAAGTTGAGACAAAAAATGTGAATGAGCAACCCGTTGTTAGTAATCAAGGGAATTCCATTAAAATTGAGACAGCAAATGGTAATGAGCCAGCCTTTGTAAGTAATCAAGGGAATCCCATTAAAATTGAGACAGCAAATGGTAATGAGCCAGCCTTTGTAAGTAATCAAGGGAATCCCATTAAAATTGAGACAGCAAATGGTAATGAGCCAGCCTTTGTAAGTAATCAAGGGAATCCCATTAAAATTGAGACAGCAAATGGTAATGAGCCAGCCTTTGTAAGTAATCAAGGGAATCCCATTAAAATTGAGACCGCAAATGGTAATGAGCCAGCCTTTGTAAGTAATCAAGGGAATCCCATTAAAATTGAGACAGCAAATGGTAATGAGCCAGCCTTTGTAAGTAATCAAGGGAATCCCATTAAAATTGAGACAGCAAATGGTAATGAGCCAGCCTTTGTAAGTAATCAAGGGAATCCCATTAAAATTGAGACAGCAAATGGTAATGAGCCAGCCTTTGTAAGTAATCAAGGGAATCCCATTAAAATTGAGACAGCAAATGGTAATGAGCCAGCCTTTGTAAGTAATCAAGGGAATCCCATTAAAATTGAGACAGCAAATGGTAATGAGCCAGCCTTTGCAAGTAATCAAGGGAATCCCATTAAAATTGAGACAGCAAATGGTAATGAGCCAGCCTTTGTAAGTAATCAAGGGAATCCCATTAAAATTGAGACAGCAAATGGTAATGAGCCAGCCTTTGTAAGTAATCAAGGGAATCCCATTAAAATTGAGACAGCAAATGGTAATGAGCCAGCCTTTGTAAGTAATCAAGGGAATCCCATTAAAATTGAGACAGCAAATGGTAATGAGCCAGCCTTTGTAAGTAATCAAGGGAATCCCATTAAAATTGAGACAGCAAATGGTAATGAGCCAGCCTTTGTAAGTAATCAAGGGAATCCCATTAAAATTGAGACAGCAAATGGTAATGAGCCAGCCTTTGTAAGTAATCAAGGGAATCCCATTAAAATTGAGACAGCAAATGGTAATGAGCCAGCCTTTGTAAGTAATCAAGGGAATCCCATTAAAATTGAGACAGCAAATGGTAATGAGCCAGTCTTTGTAAGTAATCAAGGGAATCCCATTAAAATTGAGACAGCAAATGGTAATGAGCTAGCCTTTGTAAGTAATCAAGGGAATCCCATTAAAATTGAGACAGCAAATGATAATGAGCCAGCCTTTGTAAGTAATCAAGGGAATCCCATTAAAATTGAGGTACCCGATAATGCAGTTGTTTCGGATATTGACTCTATAAGTGAGAATTCTAATATGGAGTTTGAACAGATATCAGAAAGCATAAATGACAATAATTATAACAGTGAAGAAGCTAATGATTTAGATGAAATTATTGCGAGACAACCTGTTGTTTTCCTGAATGACCCAAGCATTAACCAAGAAGAGTTGTTCGACAAATTTTATGCACAAGTTATTAATTTTTTGTAAATGATTATTACATATTGTATTTGAAATTAAATTGAGATGATTGATTGTCGTAAAACAGTGGATATGCAGTGAGTTTATAAAATAGTTAAATTTATGTGATGTGAAAGATTTCTTGCCATTGTAAGTGACTGTTTGTTGTGATTGTTATTATACCAAACGTGCACTTTCATTAATATAATAAAACAGTGAGGTGCATAATGTATGATGAAATAATTAAATTGTAAAATGTGTAAATTTATGAGTGAAAGAATAATAGTATGACATTGTAAGTGACTGTCACTGAAATATATTATAAATAAAGTGACAGATAATATCTTTTCGACAATCAAATGTGTGAAATGTTTGTGATTGTTATTTTGTATTAAAATAGTGATATTATTCTGGTGATACTATATTGTGTATCATAATATAATGGATATGTAATGTTAATAAACGTTATTTAAAATATTCTTTATTAAAGTGGCATTAAATTCTGGTGTTTGTGATTCAATCATATTATGTGAAGCTGCCAAATAAAATTATTACTAATATAGTTCAGCGGAACAAGGTAATTTCGAAAATTGAAATTGGTAAGGTTACTTTTTCATACTTCATACGGGATTTCATATTTCACATTTCATACGGGAACTTCTGTTAATTACTTTTAGTAACTTAAATATGATTTTTTTTATCTTTCGAAGGTTTATGTACTAGTTTATAAGGCCAAATATAGATAAAATTAGTGGTGTATGGTATCGTGCCTTAAGGCAAATTGCTGGAACTTTCCGTACCAAAAATTTGAATTTTTAAAAAAGATTCAATTTTCTGAAATTGAAAAAAATGACTTTTTTGAAAAAAATGACCTTTTTAAATTTCTTTTACTAGATTTTTATTTTGTCAATACAAGTAAAATGTTTTTTGAATTAATAATTTTTGGCAAAGCTAGGGCCAGCTCTTTTTAAGATACAGAGCTAAATGTACCAAAAAATGGCAGTTTTTGTGAGAACTAAGCATCCGATTTGAATGATTCAAAACACTTTCTTAACAAAAAAAAAAATGTTTTGTATATCGAAAATAATTCAGATTTTAATTTTAGTTCTGGTTAAAGTTCGAAAGCTCACTTGTAAATAATTTTAATTTCGCAATGCAGTTTATATAAGGTGACGATATGTCCCGGTTTGGCCGGGACAGTCCCGGATTTCCACCTTGTGTTCCGGGTTTTCATAAAAGCAATATAAGATTACATTTTTTTGTCCCGGATTGTTCCGGGTTTTTAAAAAGTATAGGTATGAACTATATTTTTGCAATTACACTATAATCAAATCACAAATATCCATCGAATGTCTGAAAATGATGTAGACAACTAGTATGCTTATATGAAACAAAAATAATATGGGAAAATTTTTGAAAGCAAAATACCAAAGTGTTAAAATAGAATCTCACATTGATAATTTCGGACTTCTCTTCTCAATTTTATGAAAATTAGCAATTTTTGTCTTCCATTTTCAATTTTTCGAAAACTACCAAGTTGCCGTCCCGGTTTTGACCTACAAAAATATGGGCTTAGTTTATATAATTTTCATAATTGATAGACAGTGTAACAGTATTCATAATAGTCTATTTGAAAACATTTAATATTCCTCGAACATTTCGTTGCGGTACGGTAAGTTCCAGCAATTTGTCTTTAGGCACGATGCCATGAATATCGTAAGTGATGCCATTAGTTATTAACTTATTTCCGTGGGGCAAGTTATAGTAATCGCAAAAAAATCGAAAATGAAAATTTTTATATATATTTACGTTTCAAAGGTTTTTGAATATTTTGGCATACCTTAGGAAAAATTGATGTATGTGTGTGTGCGTGTGTGTGCGCGGATACAAATTTTCGTCGACGATACAGATATATATATATATATATATATATATATATATATATATATATATCTATATATATAAAAGAGGATCGCTTTATGTGCTAACACTTATAACTCACGAACGGCTGAACCGATTTAGATGAAAATTGGCAGGGAGGTAGTTTAGAGCCAGGAGAAGGACTTAGGATACTTTTTATCCCGATTTTCAGTTTAATTGATAGTATATTTATATATATAAAAAAAATACTAGCTAGCCCGGCCACGCGTTGCTGTGGCTCAGTAATTGGTGGCAGAGAGGTAGTTTAGAGCCCGTTTTTCATTCCAATTCAGAATTAATTATTTATAAACTATCCATGTAGTTTATTCAATCTATGATACTATATATATATATATATATATATATATATAAGGTGAAGTGAAGTTTAATAATAATGCCGCGACCAAGCCTGAAAAAGAGCATTACTTACATTTATTTGTACATTTTGTCAAATAATTTATTCCCAGTTATAATTTCCCAGAATTTAACAAAGAATGGTTAGTAATATATGAAGGTACGGGGTTAAAAGTTTCACGACCAAAGTGTCAAAATCCAGTAAAGCTGAAGCATTGTTTAACAACATTATTTGAAAGTGATGGGAGAAAGATGTATAACCAGCTATAACCTTGATTCTTATGACTTTGATATTGGGAGATAAACGGTCATCTTTGAAAATCCATAGTAAAAGTATCTTTTCTATCTCTCCTCGCAGAATTTTGAAAAATTTGTATAAGCTCAGTAGTAGTATTTACAATTATACACAAAAACCAGAATCCAAAAGAATCTGAAAAGCTTAAAACGTAATCAATAAGTCGAAATACCAAAAAAATACTTGGATTGGATTATACCATGATTTCTATAGAAAGTGTATAAAACTTCCAGTTTGATTGAATTGACAAAACATAGACAAACTAATGGGGTTTATTGTTTTTATAATACCTCATTGTATATAGCATTCAAACAACACATCCTTATACACTTATAGTATTAATATTTTTTATTCTCTAGAAATTGTTTAGAATATACCTTACTTAGCAAAACAACGTTTGCCGGGTCAGCTAGTATATATATATATATATATATATATAATATATATATATATATGTATATATATATATATATCTGTGTGTGTGTACAGTGATGAAATTTTAAACTACTCTCAATCTCCTCGGTGACATCACTTACGATATTCATCTTCAAAGCATGCCACCTTTCTTGTTTTTTTTCCCTGAGCACTTGAATATTGTATTCCCGAAGTGTGATAGTATAGTATGTAACCATTATGTTTTATTCCGGACATAAACACATCATCATTTTGAATTCGGAGTGTTTTGTCTGCGCCTTTAAAAGTCTTAAGCGCCGCCGCCGACGACGACTCGGAGGCTCCGCGTTCCATTCAGACTGGATTCATTTCCTAAAGCACTTGATGAAGTCGACTCAGCACAACATCCTTGTTCCTGGGACTTTGTTTCATCTGTCCGAAATCAATTGGACATCACAGTACATCTCAAACAGTCACGAATTAAAAAAAGGTCAGTAAATCAAAATAAAACTAGTGCTGTATGGCGTCGTGCCTCAAGGTAAATTGCTGGAACTTCCTGTACCGAAAACTAAATTAATAAAAAAAACTTTGCAAAACTTTGAAAAAATTAGATTTTTGAAAAATTTGTTTTTTTATATATCGATTTTTTTTTTGAAAATTGAAGCGCCGCGTAGTCGTCTAAAGTGTAAACATTGGTACCGAACCCATATAAATGCACACAAAATTTGTACTTATCATTATAATCATTAAAAAATATTTGATAATATTATGTACATATGCCTAATGTTCATTTTTGACCACCAAATGACATTATTTTATACTTTTTTATTGGATCTCCGGAGACCCTGGACCTGCCTTTACAAAAATTTTACCTGTTGTTCATTTCTTCAATACAAGTAAAATGCTTTTCGAATTATTTAAATCGGACGCTCCGTTACCTCAAAAACTGAAATGCCATTTTTAGCACTTTTTGCCTCGTATCTCCGAAACGGCTAGACTTGCCTTAGCCAAAAACTAATCAGCACGTCTCCTCATCAGTAGGAATTGAATGTTGTTTGAATTATTCAAATCGGTTGATCCGTGTTCGCAAAACCGTTGACGAAAATTTGTATCCACACACACATACATCTATTTTTTCTAAGGTATGCCAAAATGTTCAGATACCTCTGAAACGTAAAAAAATATAAAATATTTCATTTTCGATTTTTTTGCGATTACTATAACTTACCTTACAGGGAGTTAAAAATTAAAAGAAATTTATTGGACTCGATTATTAGACTCTGTTAATATTTATTTACATTTACAATATACTTATTGTATTTTTTAGGGAAATGGAATTAAATTGCAAATTTCAGATTATTAACTTTCCCTAGGGCAAGTTATAGTAATCGCAAAAAAATCGAAAATTTTTATATATCTTTACGTTTGAAAGGTTTTTGAACATTTTGGCATACCTTAGAAAAAATGGATGTATGTGTGTGTATGTGCGTATGTGTGTGTGCGGATACAAATTTTCGTCGACGATTTCGGGAACACGGATGAAGCGATTTGAATAATTAAAAAAACATTCGATTCGTATTGATAAGGAGACGTGCTGAGTAGTTTTTGGCGAAGGCAGGTCTAGCCGTTCCGAAGATATGGGGCAAAAAGTGCCAAAAACGGTAACTCAGTTTTTAAAAGAACGGTTTCGGAGATCTAGTAAAAGAAGTAAAAAAAAATGCCATTTGGTGGTTAAAAATGATCATTAGACATATACACATCAAATTATCAGATATTTTATAGAGATTTTAACAACAAGAATAAATTTTGTTTACATTCCTATGGGTTGCGTACCAATGTTTATCCGTTAGACGGCGATGCGGCGCTTATGCGCTTCGATATTTCGTCTATATGCAGTTAAAGCAGTACGATTGCTTTGAAAAAAAGTTCAGAATTTCCAAAATATTTCAAAATAATTTTTTTTTCAAAAAGACTTTTTTTCAAAAAAAGTAAGTTTTTTTAAAAAATTTATAGTTTCTCAAAAATATAATTTTTTCAGAGTAAAGTTTTTTCAAAAATGTTAATCTTT